CTCCCTGCTCAGCGGGAAGCCTGCTTCTCCCTCTCCCACTCCCCCTGCTTGTGTTCCCTCTCTCGCTGTGTCTCTCTCTGTCAAATAAATGAATAGGATCTTAAAAAAAAAAAGACTAACACGCTACTTATTTAAAGCTTTGTTTTCTCATCAATACAATGAATATTGAAAAAATAGGAAAGCAAATGAAATATCCCACATTCCATTCCTCCGAGTGCTAATTTAGTTCAGAGAGCTTCTGGATTTATATATTTAAAAACGTATTCGGCAGAAAGCACGGGGACACCAGTATCACATACAGAGTCCGTCCTGTGTCTGTGCGTTGTATATAGGGAGTCACTGAAGTGCACGAGTAAGTCAGCTAATTAGCTTGACCTCCGTTTCACAGATGAGCTGGCCGAGGTTCAGAGGACCCTGGTGACTCGCTCAAAGTCGTGCGTTTTCCAAGTGGAGAACCAGGTTCTGACCCAGGGTGGTCTGGAGTCAAAGTCTGACGTTTTTTCTTACTCAGTTTGAGTTGATATACTTGAGTGGTTGCCAGTAGGCAGGCCGATCACTTAATTACTGAATGTTCTCATCACCTCGGAGCAGCGTCTGTGATGCTCGGTGTAGATCTTTCTGGTGTCTACTGTTCTGTCTTTGGAGAGTTCACTGACAAAAGGCTTTTTCTGCGATTTTCCTGACCCTAATTTTCCTAAACTGGCAGTTTTTATGGCGGGGGCGGGGGTTGCTGTATTAGTTTCCTATTGCACTGTCACGATTTACCACAAACCCAGTGCATAAAACACACGTCTGTTGTCCTGTAGCTCGAGGCCGGAAAGCTGAAGGGGGTCTCCCGTGGCTAAAACCAAGATGCTGGCGGGACTGTGTTTCTTCGTGGAGGCTTCTGTGGCAATCCGCTTCCTTATTTTCTGCCTCATGGAGGGACCCACACTCCCGAGTTCACGGCCCCTCCCATCCTCAGAGTCCGCACTGGCCGGGCCAGTCCCCACCTCCCCGACACGGCAGCTTGGGGAGCTCCTCCTTGGCCTGCCTCCTCCACATGTAAGGACCCCGTGATTACACCGCCCCACCTGGATGGTCCAGGATAATCTCTCCCATTCAGGGTTAGCTGACGGCACCCTCAATTCTAAATAGCCTAATTTGCCTTTCCCCTGAAACATTCCTGGGATCCAGGAATTAGGAACAGACATCCTCGGGGGTCATTATTCTTCCCACCTCGCACCTCCCTCCAGCCCCCAGAGATTCGTGTCGGCCCCACATGCTAAACTCGTTCACTGTCGCTCAACATCCCCCTGTGTGCTGCGTATTCGTTCACTGAATTTATATATATATATATATATATACACACACACACATACACACACATATATGGATGTTTATCGTTTTTACACAATACACGCATACTGTGTTAACCAGCTTGCCCTTGATTTTTCTCATGTGGTAGATTTTTTTTCAGCCTTTTTATGTCCGTGTACACATACACACAACCCCGTATGCTTCCATTTTTTCTTTTTTTTTTAAAGGCTGGTCTTCACCGATGCATCTGAGTTGTCTCCCATCTTCTGCTCTCCCTAGCAGCCTCGCCGTGCCTGTGGGCTTTAGTATCTAGAGGCTGAATTCGTAGCCGTCAGATTCCCGGGGAAGAGCCAGCTCACCAGAGAGGAAAAAGAGAATCTGCTCATTTGCATTGACAGGAATAATTCTAAGGCAGATAAAAGGAAAGAAGAGTACCCTTTGAGTGACCTACTGAATCTCAGGAGGGATGGCTCGTTCGAGAAAGCCCAGTGTGAGCACTCCTCTTAGGTCTGGTCTACTTGGTGGTTTGCCAGCCAGCATCTCTTGAAATTTTTGGTTGACCTTTGGAAGTCCCTATGGAGTGGCTTCTGCTGAGCACATCATTTAGCTCGATCTGTGCACGCCTGATGCCTCACTCGTCTGTGCTCATCAAACCTCCCTTGACTAAGCCTGTCACCGGCACAGAACAGACTTGCTCCCACACGTCACATGCACTGTGTGTGGTTCGCAGGACAGAGAGCTGCATGCTCCCTAAAGTCATCGTGGCCTGGGTGCCCTCGAGAGCACGGCACCTGCTGCTGGGAGCCCCAGCCAGGCTGCATTTAACCAGCTCTTTTTCTGTCATAGATGCCCATTTCCCGCGAGCAGTCAGCTTGGTTTTGATAGATGGCAGCCAGTACTATTTTTCATTTGTTAAAATGTAAAGCTAATTGATTTTAAATGGTGCTAGCACTGGTGGTCTGACATGATTAATCCCCATGTCATGTTGTGTATAATAGTGATTCCTATTCTGCTGCTCAGGTAAGCTGGATAAAATGAAACAAACACCAAAACACGGTCCCCCAAGCTGAGGGAACACGGTTTCGCATTTGCTCTGGGACGGGATGGTGAGTGAGGGCTGTTTCCAAAGCTACGCTCTGCTTCGTTAACTGTCATAATTTTGCAGGTCATGGAATCCCTTTTGGAATCATCTTTGGTGGAACTGATTTGAATGAAGATGTTAACCAGAAAGAAAAAAATGAAGTGATGGGAAAGGTCCTCGAAGAAGCCAGGTAATGCTGATGAGAACCTCACAGGAGTTAAGCATTTGGGGGGAGTTCGCTGAAACCAAAAGATTAGGAAGGCTGCCGTTTGGGAGAGTCCCATCTTACCATAATAAAGCCAGTCTCTTTTTCTCATTTCATTTTTCCCTTTCATTTGCACATTTTAATTTTGCCACGAAGGGTCACGGTAAACAAGTTATTGCACGGGAATAACTGTTCAGCGACAGCTCACTTTGGGCCAACCTCCTTAGCAGTCCTGCCGGGTGGAAGGCGCCGCACTGTGGTCCGCTTAGAGAACAGCACGCCCCGACTCCCGCTCCTCGAGCACAGGAGTCAGCATCGACTCTTGAATGTTTGGGGCCTGGCTCTGAGCTCCGTGGATTTCTGAGCTCTGTAAAACCGTCTGGGAGGGGGTCACTGTGGGCATTCGGGGCAGGACAGTCCTTCATCGTGGGGGCCCTGCTGCACGTCCCCGAGCCCAGCTGGTCACTGCTCGTCGGCGACACCTGCTGGCCGCTGCAGCTGCAGTCGATCACGTTTCTAGCCCCTGGGGTGGGGAGTTGCGGCCCCAGTCCAGAACCCAGAGCTGCACCCCCCAACATTTCCCTTGTCCGGGCATACTTAGGAAATCGTATTTGTACAGCACTGTGAACTAGAAGGACAGGCGGGGGGGAAATCACCCCCATTCCTCTGTATCACGAAGATAATGATAATACTTAACATAATAATAACAGTATAGAAATCCTCTATGTCCATATGAAAGTTGTTTAAAAAGAAGAAGTCAAGAGCGCCTGGGTGGCTCAGTCGGTTAAGCGACTGCCTTCGGCTCAGGTCATGATCCTGGAGTCCCGGGATCGAGTCC